TGGGTTGCTGGCGCCTGGGGCCACCCAGAGGGTGGTTGGGAGGGAAATGGAGAAAGTATGCATGCGCATTCAATTGCCTAACAGCATCTGCGTCACCCATGAGATCGCAGCCGCAGGGATAAGAAAAGAAGAGTCGTTCTGTTGCCTGAAGAGGTCACTTCCTCGTTCGCATGGAGAAGCCTTTTTCAATGGAGGCCATTGATGGAAGCGCACAGCTGTATTGAGGCAGCACCAGGTGTTGAAATTTTGCACCCCTAATAATTTTGTGCCTAGGGCAACAGCCCCTGTGCCCCCCCCCCCAATACTACACTGAGTCTGAGCACATAACTCCAGTCCTGACTTCACTGGCTACCAATTAGTTTCTGGGCCCAATTCAAAGTGCTGTTTTTGACCCAGAAAGCCTTCTGTGGCTCAGGACCCAAATACCTCAAGGACAGCATCTCCCCACATGAACCAGCCCAAACCCTCCCTTCTTCAACTGAAGCCCTTTTCCATGTGGCCCCTCCAAGGACAGTTTTTCTTACAGGTAAAGAGTTCCCTGTTTATGGAATGCTCTCCCCAGGGAGGCATTTGTTTTTAGATGCCAAGCAAAACCATTACATTGTTGTTGTCCCAGGTCTTTTGATCTACATTTTCTGTATTTTAGCAGGGTGGAGTTGAATCTGGGGTACACACACACACACACAGAGTCCTTTTTTCTGGGTGGGATGCAGGGGTACACATACCCCTAAACATTTTGTGAATCTTTGTACTTTTGTCCATTTACTGTATTTATTTTTCTCAATTTGAACTATAAAATGGTGATTTTCTTGTTTGTTTGTTTTTTAAATAATATTTATTACTTTTCCAAAAATTTAAACACTAAAAAGACAATACAATGCAATACATTAAACTAACAAAACAAAACAAAAACAATAAAATAAATCAAACAATTTCATTATCCCATCTTTCATTCACTTATTTCCACGACCTCCTCACACCTCCCTTTTTGTATTCCACTTCTGTTAATTATTTCAGCAATTCCTTTCCATCTTCCTCTGTTTTCTATCCTATAATTATCTTAACTCATTCTAACCTTATTTTTTCCTTTAATGCTCTATTAATCTATTTATACTTAATTCCTTATAACATTTCTACTAAAGCCATATAACTTCATTCCAACATTTTTCTAACATTCATTAATTTTACAGTATTTCTGTAAATAGTCTTTAAATTTTTTCCAATCTTCTTCCACCGACTCTTCTCCCTGGTCTCGGATTCTGCCAGTCATTTCCGCCAATTCCATATAGTCCATCAACTTCATCTGCCATTCTTCCCGGGTGGGTAAATCTTGTGTCTTCCAATATAAAATGGTGATTTTCTTGAGTCAAAATGAGAGTACCCCAAACATTTTTTAAAAGAAAAAAAAAGCACTGTATGTTTCAAAATGTGCTTTATCTTACTATTAATGTTTCATCTTGTAAGTCGCTTTGAGCTTAATATTTTTGTAAGGGGAATGTGGCAAATAAATTTAATAAATAAATGAAATGTTATGTTTTCATACCACGTAGTTAATTATGGACTTCACTCCCACCAAAGGTAGTTATTGGCCGCTAACTTGGATGGTTTTAAAAGAGGATTAGACAAATCCAGTGCTTTTTTCTGGGGGGGGGTGATGTGTAGGGGTACTCTCATTAAACTCTCGCTTCAGTCTGAGACTCAGGAAACATCATGACAATCAATGAGGCTGCCATCGGGGGTAGCAATGGAAATGACGATTCACCGTGTTAGAGAAGAAACTATTTTTTTAAAAAAGTTTCTTCTCCCATTAGATTCACAAAATGTTTAGGCGTATGCGTACCCCTGCATCCCCCCAGAAAAAAGCATAGACAAATCCATGCAGGCTAAAGATTATCAAAGGCTCCACTATCAGTCTCTGCATATTAGTTGCTAAGAGTTGAGAGAGTCTTGCTGCACTTTGGTCTTCTTTGTAGGCTTCCCATTTGGTCATCTGGTTGGCCACTGTGAGAATAGGAAGCTGGATTAACCGGGCATGACTTTTCCTATCTTTTTAAGGTGCAAATTGATAAGGGAACATATCTAGAACTGCTATTGCTAGATGTGTTTACCTCTGCTTATTGTTATTTGCTCTTGTGCTTTTATTTGCTATAGATTAGTATTTTTTAAAAAAACAAAATCTATTTTTTATTAAATTTTATTAGATGTTACAAAAAAATAAAAAAGAAATAGAAACAATACATAACCATACATAAAAACATTTATCTACACAATTTTCCAGAATGCAGACTAGAAAAGAAGAAAGATGAAAGATAAAAGAAAGAAACAAGCAAAAGGATACTTTTCATAATCAATAAATCCAAATTCATACTTCAAACATTACAATATATAAATGCTAGTTAAAATATTATAAAAGACTTCCACCGCATTCACCACACATCTCTTGGTTTTCTAAATCACCTTTACATCTGTTCTTCAGTCACTTCCTTTCCTTAAATTCTTTCATAGTCCATCTAATCTTTGTATTCTCTGTATTCTTCACAATGTTAGTCTAGGCACAACCAAACTTTCATGTTTGATCCCTGTTTGTGTAAATATTCATTTAAGCATTCCCATTGTTTCTGTACCATTTTCTCAAAAGCTGCTTTAACCTGTCGCCTTACTAAAACCTTAAGCAAAAGCTAGGGAAAGCTTTTCATTGTGGACGAGACAAATATGCACAATAACTTCATGGATTAAAATTGCACATCAGGGTAGTCTTCCACTCCTGAAAATCCCTGCTCATCTCACATCAATGTTATGAGCAATCTCTTAACCACAGAAAGAACAGAGTGGTTTGAACGGTGCATTGGACTTCTCTCTGCACTGCCAGGGAACGAGGTTGTATATTCCTTGGAGCATCTTGCTTCATGGGCTGAAACCAGAGCCAAAGGCCTGTCACTCCACCACTGAATGTTCCCTCTGCTATGAACACCAGGAGAATGTAGATTGGCAGGAAGGTCTGCAAAAAAGCGACATAACACCAGCAGGGCCAGTTGGCAGGCATATGCAGAGCAGGCTGCCAGAGCCCAGCACACAGGCTGCACAAACCTCACACCTACAGGCGGAACACCTCTCACATTAATTGATGAGGCAGAAGTTGGAGAGATGCCTCCCATGCCAAAGTGGCCCAACAGAACGCATATCCAGAAAATGGCACACCTCAAAGGAAGGTCAGGCCTGAATGTGTCAGTTGCTGGCAGGCAGGCAACAATGCATCACACACAAAACCCAAATTGAACTCAACTCATGCGCTGCCCTTTGAGATCTCTCAAACTCAAGCACGGAAACATAGCCACTCAGGCAGGGAGTCTTTCTCAGCCCTGCCTAGAGAGATGCTGGCAGCTGAATCTGGGACTTTCTAAATGCCAAGCAGGTGGACCTCCTAGAACATCTGGAGAACCTATGCAACAGACCCGCACATTTCAGTGCATCTTAACAACAGGAGGTGGCCATGATGACCTTCAGAGCCTGCTTGGGAGCTTCCCAGAGTCTTCTGACTGTCCGCTGTTGGAGACATAATGCTGGGTGGGCCTTTGCAAAGACACAGCTTGGTGGTTCATATGTAACTCAGGCCAAAATTGTTGCACCAACATTCACAATCATTTTGCTAGCAAGCACCCAAGGTAACTGACATCATGGGGAAACTGTTTAAAAGATTTGAGGGTACCAAAATTTATTGACTTGATGGACCTTGCAAGCTGCATACCACAAAATAAGAATACCCGGTATCAAGAACCCTCTTCTTGAGAAAGAGAATAAAAAACAGACTCTGCAGTAACCATCCTAGTCTAATTGATGTCAGCTCCTGAGGTCTTTGCAAACCATGTACAGCATTGGCTTCAAGACTGGGCTGAAGTGCAGAACATCTTTATTGAATAGCAAGCTGAATTCAATGCCATTTTCTCAACTTTGGAGCATGACTTCCTCTTGGGCCATCTTGCTGATAAATGTGTTTCTCTAAGAAAAGGCCTATTCCCTGCAGCTTTTGCCAAGCTGAAGGCCACCTTAAATTCTACAAATAACAAGCATGGGCAGGTCAAATTGCCAGTCCAGACACAGATTGAAGGCTTCTGTATTTCGGTTACGGTTCTCTCTACTGGTCCAATTGTCAAAGTAAGACCAGCCTCCAATGTTCAAATGACATCTTGTCTTAAAAGGGGAAAAACAAGTTTACATGTTTGCTTCCTTTTTCCTGTTTATATTAATGAAATTTAGATATAGGATGTTAACATGCATTTTAGATAAAAGGTTGTTTTTCTATATGCTAATATCTCTGGCTTTTGATGTTTGTTCCCCTAATGTACTTGGTTAATCTCACTTTGTATATTACTAAGAGAGCTTTTAAACAACTCTTATATTATATTAATGAGGCTATTAAAGAACTAAAGGATGACAAATTCTTCCACCCAGCAGCTGATACAAAGAAACTCTCAACTTAGCACTGTGCAGGCAACATGTCCCTCTTTTCTTCTTATTTGGGCCTGAGGCATTTGCTGGTGGCTCAGGGAAATTCTTTTAAAAAGAGATCATTCAGCTATCAACTATGAGAAGATGAACATTGTTGCATTTAATTAAAGATCTGGATGATCAGCAATCGAACAAGTTAGATCTTGTTGTTACTTGGGACATTGCTTTCTTCTTAAGCTTAACAGCTGGAGAGACCACCTTCAATCCTCCAGGCCAGCTCTCCTCAATCTGGTGCCTGCCAGATGTTGTTGAACTACAACTCCCATCAACCTTGGTCATTAGCCATGCTGCCTGGGAGCTGATGAGAGCCACAGACCTAACACCAACTATAGGGTTGCAAGCTGGAGAAGATGCCTAAAGATTAGAGGCATGGAACATAGGAAGCTGCCTTATACTGAATCAGACCATTGGTCCATCTCGCTCAATATTGTCCACACTGACTGTCAGCAGCTCTCCAGGGTATTCGGCAGGGTACTGCCTCTTCCAGGCCTACCTGGAGATGCTGGAGCTTGAACCTGAGACCTTCTGTATGCAAAGCAGATGCTCTACCACTGAGCTACGGTTTCCTGAGAGTCAGAAGACCAAAAGGAAACCAGTTCCTATTCCTTAAAATCCGGGAAATCAAATGGCTCTCCCGGTTTCTTGATGTGACTGACATTTGAGCTCCTGGTAGTTCTTTAAAAAAAATAATAACTTCATTGGTTTGAAAATAATACATACTCATACCCTTAACAAACAAAAAATCAAGATATGCAGTGAAAATGCAGACAAGAATACACAGTCAATCTAAAGGGTAGAATATGATTTAACCTAGAGCAACCAGGGAGCGGGGCTTGGATGTCTGCAAGAGTTCTGGATTTTTCTTCTTATTCATGTAATCAATAAAACAGTACCAGTCAGTTGTCAATTAGTCATTATGTCTCTATCCTTAGGCTGGTTGTATTTTGTTGGTCAATTTGTCTATTAGGGCCAATTGCCAAACTCTGTTGTTGCTGTTGTTTAGTCGTTTAGTCGTGTCCGACTCTTCGTGACCCCATGGACCAGAGCACGCCAGGCACTTCTGTCTTCCACTGCCTCCCGCAGTTTGATCAAACTCATGCTGGTAGCTTCAAGAACACTATCCAACCATCTCATTCTCTGTCGTCCCCTTCTCCTTGTGCCCTCCATCTTTCCCAACATCAGGGTCTTTTCCAGGGAGTCTTCTCTTCTCATGAGGTGGCCAAAGTATTGGAGCCTCAGCTTCAGGAGCTGTCCTTCCAGTGAGCACTCAGGGCTGATTTCCTTCAGAATGGAGAGGTTTGATCTTCTTGCAGTCCATGGGACTCTCAAGAGTCTCTGTTAAGCCAGTTCAATAGGGATGCCGTTTCCAAAACTGGGCTATAATAAAGATCTGCGTTCTGACCCTGAAATATATTCATTCCTCATGGTCCTCAATGAAATCCCACACGATACAATATTTCAGTCGGTCAATTTTGGGAGTGCAGGTCAGCTGCGCGAGAATCTTGGATGCCTCTAAAGGAGGATGAAACAAATTCATGGAAGATGATTTATCTATCAGTGGTTGCTAGTTCTGATGTCTATATGCGGTGCTATTTTTCTAGAAAAAGAGGTGCCGGAACTCACCACAAACACCTCCCTCGTTCTCTTAGAATGGCAAATGGCACCCACCTGAGAGGTGCCAGAACCGAGTTCCTGTGAGTTCCCCCTGAAAAATAGCCTTGGCGATATGGAGCATCCATGATCGGAAGAAGTCTCTCTTAATGCCATTTGCTGAAAAAGCAAGAGGAGGAAAAGGCTGCAGCCTTCCTCTTTTGTTTTGTGGGCCTCCAGGCAACACCTGGATGGCCACTGTGAAAAACAAGACGCTGAGTTGGTTGGGCCCATTTTGAACTGATCCAGCTGCACGGCTCCTCCTCTTACCTACTCAGAACAGAAACCAATGCACAAGATGCAACACATTGCTGTCTGCAATGCTCATTCGGTTAATATTTATGATCTTTTGGGAAGAGATTGGTTAAACCAGGCACAGCTGAAACTTTTACTAAGCAGTTGTTGTGGACAAGATTGCATTTAGGGTGTGTTTGTAGGATAACAGACCACATTTATTCTCTGTTATGCTTTCTGATAAGATGCTTTTGTTATTATTACCTGTGGTCTGGGCAAGCAAGCTCACTCAAAACTGCCCCCAACGTTCAAACAAAGAAGCAGAACGTTAAGTGAAAAAACCACAGAAGTTTCAATCTTCCCCCCCCCCAATTACATTTAATTAAGTTCCAACGTTATCAACATATAAAATACAATTCCATCTTTTCTCTTATTTCTGTCAACTTCCCACCTCTTTTTCCATGGAGTTGTTGTTTCTCCCCTTCTACTGCACCCTATCACATCATAAGCACAATATTAGAATCTAATTACTTTGGCGGCTCATAGCTCAAATCCAGCCGCGAGTTCATCATACTATAATATTTCTTTAAATAGTCCGAAAAAGAGAATTGTGATGATGCAGGAACAAGTCAAACCAGCAGTAGGTGCTGGTTCACAAAAGGCTGTGATCTGAGCCACGCTCACTGAACACAGCAGAGTTTACTCCTGAGTAAACACACCAACATCTCACCGTGGGGAAATGAGAAGAAGGCCGAGGTAGGTATGAATGCACACACTTTCCCCCCTCTTTCCCCCCAGGTCACTGCCAGTCCCATCCATGTGCCCATTGCCCCCCAAGCCATATGGAGAAGCGGCTTCTGTCTCTGCCTGGTGGGATGGAGTGATTTAGATCTAGTGAGTGAAAAAGAGAATTCAGCCTTGAACTGCCAAGGGATGGCCTCCCATTACCCTCTGCCACTCACCCATCTGCAATTACATCTTTCTTTAATTATCAGATGATTATGTGTGAAATAAGCTGATAAAGATAAAAAGCTGGGTCGTGGGGAAAGGGCCGTGCCAAGGGAAGAATTGCCTTCTCTAACAAAGCTGTGGCAAAGGAAAGCCTTGAAGACTCCGTGTGGCCAGCAGGTCACCCTTCCCACAACGGAAAGCTCACGGGGTCTTCTGCACAGTGCTGTGGATGGTCCTGGAGCCAGAGGGGGAGCAAGGTGGGTGCGGTGGGTGTGGTCTGACCCGGATGTCATCCCTGAGGGGGGCTGACATCACCGCGCCACCCCCCAGGACGCTTGTCGCTGGTGGCGCACCCTCCAGGACGCTTGGTGCGGGTGGCGTACCCCCCTGGGACGCTCACTGCGGACAGCGCCCCCCTAGGACTTTCGCTCCACCCCCCTGGGATGCTTGCCCCACCCTCTGGGATGCTTGCCCCGCCCCTGGGATGCTAGCCCCGCCCCTGGGACACTAGTCCCACCCCCGTGGGTGGCTAGCCCCACCCCCTGGGTGCATGCCGCTTCAGGTGCCGGAGCAGCTAGCTCCATCACTGACTGATGCATTCTGGAGTTTTGCAGAAGGACCACGTGTGTTTAGGAGTAAGCAGAGAGTCTCCCAGGATGCTTCACCCGCAAAGCAACTTAAGGTGGCGATGCGACAAGTCGTTTCTTGCGCATGCTGTGGTTCCTGCATTGCAGGGGACAGGACTATATGGTCCTTGGGTCCCTTCCAACCCTACAATTCTATGATTCTATGAAAAAGAAGAGCCAAAGATGTGCAAAATTGCATACAAATGTGGGTTTATTAGGGGAAATTTGAACTAAAATAGTAAAGTCATGAGGAGAAAGAAAGAAAGAAAGAAAGAAAGAAAGAAAGAAAGAAAGAAAGAAGCCAATATGGAAATGTGAAGAACTTAAGATTGGAAAAGTGAGGGAAACCAAAACGGATAGATTCACCCATGCCTAGTCATGATGACTGCCTCATTTATTAGATCTCTGCCCCCACTGCCACCCCCTTGTGAAGCTCACCTGGAACCAACTCTGTTTTTTCCCCCTTCAGCACCAGGTAAAAACCTTTTTATTTGTCCAGGCGCCATTGCACATTTTATAACTTTTTTTTAATATATCACCCTTCTGGATTTTACTGCATTTATGGCTTCTGCTTCTGTGCTTTTAATGTTTTGCATGGAGCTTTTATGACACCTGTTATTTCAAATTTTCACTGCCCTGGCAGTCTTGTACTGAAGGACAGTTTTTAAACAGATGCCAACATATAAAATATGTGAAGTGCTCCGATTATACTAAAGCACTATATAAACACTAAGCAGCTTCTGATGGCAATGGGTCCTCTTTGCTTTCATAGCCCCACGTCCCGTCCCCCAAGTGCAGAGTTTGATCTTTTCTTCCTGAGGATCTCAGCTTTCAGGTTCCTAGTGCTTAGACTGGCAACAGTAAGTTTGGAGCTAGGAAACATCGCTAGAAATTCAAGAAGCCAAAGGAGGCCGCAGACTGACTCCCAGCAACAATCAGAATGTTCTCTCTCTCTCTCTCTCTCTCTCTCTCTCTCTGTGTGTGTGTGTGTGTGTGTGTGTGTGTGTGTGGCTTGTGGTGTGCATACAGCTCTTTACCAGCCCTATGGTCAACTAATGTGCAAACTCATACCCTCCAACATTTCTCTGATGAAAATAGGTACAGTGGTACCTCAGGTTAAGTATTTAATTCATTCCAGAGGTCCATTCTTAACCTGAAACTGTTCTTAACCTGAAGCACCACTTTAGCTAATGGGGCCTCCTGCTGCTGCCGCGCCGCTGAAGCATGATTTCTGTTCTCATCCTGAAGCAAAGTTCTTAACCCGAGGTAATATTTCTGGGTTAGCGGAGTCTGTAACCTTAAGCATGTGTAATCTGAAGCGTATGTAACCTGAGGTACCACTGTATGTCCTATTCAACAACAACAGCTCTTCTTCTTCTTCTCCTTCTTCTCCTTCTTCTTCTTCTTCTTCTTCTTCTTCTTCTTCTTCGTCTTCTTCTTCCTGCCCATCTGAGTGGGTTGCCCCAGCAACTTCCAACATATATAAAAACCTAATAAAGCATTAAATATTTTTTTTAAAAAACTTCCCTATACACGGCTGCCTTCAGATGTCTTCTAAAGGTTGTATAGTTACTTATCTCCTTTATTCGGGGGGTCACATAACTCCATACCCTCCAACATTTCTCCGGTGAAAATTGTGACGTCCTTTAAAAAAAGTGGGGCATTGCAGGATCAAATCAGAAACCAGGAGAACGTCTGTAAATCCAGGGCTATCCCTGGAAAACAGGGACACTTGGAGGGTCTGCAAACTGTGTAAGTATATTCCAGGTATAGAAATCAGATTTATCTTTCGGTACGTGCAACTGTTTGTGTTACCTTAATGCACAATTAGGGTTTTCTTAGTGCACAATGGAAAGGGCTCCTCCACACACACGCACAGCCGCTGTTCTCACTTGCATGTACTGTATGCCCGATGCTCAAAGGGGATTCCGGCTTCCCCTCCCCCATCCCACTGAGCTCTCTTGCTTTACTAAAACAAACAGAGCAGCCTTAATATCCTCTTGGCCTGAATTATTTACTGCCTGGATGCACCGTGGAGGCTGTCAGCCTGGCAGCTGTTAGACTCAAACAAACATGGATCAGAAGTGGCACTGGGACTTAGTTCTG